ATTATTGAGCAACAATAAGTATTAATTTTTGGAACTCGCAACTATTTTAGTAGAAATTTCTAAGTAATTCAGCTACCAAATGCAGTTGCTGTGAAAATACTCACTTATAACAGTATTTATGGTTTCTGAATATAGGAAGTGACAGAACAGGATTTTTTACAGCTATCTCAGATCTCTTTGAATTTCATGTGTATAATGCATTCTTGAAAATTTTGGTTGAATGCTTTTTCTGAATGTTAAAGAAATTGCCAAATGAACACTTTCATTCCAGATTATGCAATATCTGGCTGCTGTTGGCAGCTGATTTTGAATCTTTACTTGCATTAATCTTTAGGGTATAATTTCTCTGTTCTCTGATAATGTAATATTAAAATACTTGTGAAATTATGCTAGTGTAATCTGTTCTCTGTAACATTTTTTCATCTTAGTGTTATGTCTTCCAATTTACTGAATATTTGACTAACAACATTAGCACGGCTGGAAGTGCCTAAGTGGAAACAATAGCGCTATAACAGTACTTGCAAATTCTCCAAAACCTAAGTGGAATATGTATTCCTCTTGCTTATTTTGATGATTTTGGTTGAAGAATGTCATGCTGCTTTTCTGTCAGATTTTAGACATCCTGAGGATGGCCATGTATCTGGGTCATTGTGTTTAAGTAATTTCAGGGCAAGCCGAGCTGAGTTTCTTGGAAGCACCTGCAGCTGATACTGGATTAATCAGTGCTGGTTGTACAGACAAAGCCTCAACCAACTAGTTGGTTTCTGAGACAAGTTTGTGGCAGTCTTGAAAGTTTATCCGAATCATTTGTCGTTAACATTTGTAGTGTATGTAGTCTGTACTTTAATGTTTTGTTGGGTAGTAGGTCTTTTTATTTGAGACTTCAAACATTTTCTCCTTCCCTCAGCAACTCTATAGTTTCTGTATGGGTGTAAAAAAAAAAAATGGTGTTGTGGCTGCATCTATTGTCTTGCTCCTAAGCTCATAGCATGCTAAGGGAGTAGCATTCTTGCAGCTCTCACAATGGGAAGCAGAAGGGGAATCGTAAGTTTCTATAGATCTATGCTAGATCAAAATTTGTACTGTCTTTATCTCAACTATTGTTGCGAACCATTTGAAAGTAAGAGTGTGTCATAACCAGTTGCCTTATTCTAGCATTGGAAATGTCTACCCCACAGTTGGGGGTTGTTATGTATGTGCGCGCGCACACACACACACACATGCACACACATATATTTATATACATTGATGTATGTACTTTAAGTCCTATGTGGCAGAAAGTGCATATCTTTTCTGAGGAATTTGAACGCCAGTCTTTTTGTGAAAAGACTGACCACGATGATCAGAAAAGTATGATATGTTTGTTTATACTCCCATATAAACAGTATCTTTTACACTAGAAATACAAAGAAAGGCAGCAGAGATTTTGAGCTTAAATACATAATCAGAGACAGTATGAGAGACAGTTCATGTATTCTGTGTTCTGGTAATGACTTACTGCCAAAGCAGTCAATTTTTAAAGGCTTCGTGTCAGGTCTTCATGTGAGAGGAAGTGAAGGGGAAGCAAATTTACTCTCTGTGCAGGATATCCATGAGGACTGTATATGCGTTTCCTTTTGAAATGGTCTTCCTTGTGTGGTCGGATTTTCTAGGTTTTTTTTTTTTCAGTCTGAAATGGCATTTTTGATTGTCTGGTATATACAAGGTGAATACATCACATGTTTGGAATTGTTTTTTTTTTCTTTCTTTTGAACAACTTAGTATTGCATGCTGTTTACAGGAAAGAGGCTTAGCCCGAATCAAGATAGGTATACACTGAGCTCCTAGAGAATCACAAAAAACCTTGACAGTGGTAACAAAAAGTTTAGGTCTGCACTAATATATATATAAACTTGATACAATTTTAATTTACATTATCATGTACTTTTGTCCCTTTTGCTCCATTTGTCATATGTATGGTTTAAAAAGCAAATGGGATTTCATCCAGCTTCAGCCATTTAAGTTATCTGTTTATTTCCCTCTCACTCCTGTGTTTTACTCCTATGTGTACAGAGAGAAACTCTGAGGAGCTTGTTTGGACAAAATACCACTTCCTGCCAGGTTACATTGGATGTAGCTTGGTAGTTGTTTTTTGTAGGGCTGTATGATACAAAGATACAAGTGCCTGAAGGGGATTAAACATTTTAATTATTCTTAGATTGGAAGTTGGTATTAAATGTATTATGTAAACAGTGCCAAATATATATATATATATATATTTTGCATTCTAAAGTTTCAAGGATGAGGTATTCAAGATAATGACTCAAAAAATCACGTGCTCTGTTTAAATGATCTTAGAACAATGTGCCTGGTTTCTTTGACACTTGTATGAACGGATGACTGATTCTTTCTTCTCTGTGAATATCTTTGATTTACATTTTCTTTTGACAAAGCTCAAATTTCCTCTGAATAAGCATACAGCTTAACAGCATTGGCTGTTCTGTAATGTCAGCTGTTTTGGGAAAATCATCTTATCCCCACTAGTCTGCACCTGTTAGTGTGATGTGGGAGAGGCACATTAAAAAATTATACACAGCTCATTTTTTCAGATAAAGAGCTAAATCTCTTCAGCATATTTTAATTGATACTGTTGTAGAAAATATCAGATCTGGTAATTAAGCAGTATTTTCTTTCTGAAGTCTTTCATATATGTCAAAAGAAATTTATTGGATAAGTCTTGGGAAAGGTGAATCTGATTTTCCAAAACATGATGTTTGAAAACCTTCTCTGGCCTAAGATTTCTGTATGTTAATGAGCAGTCCACCAAGTTTCATCTTAATCTTCTCTAAAGCCGTAATGTTACATGCCTATAGCAATGTAGGCTTTGAACAAAAATCCTTTGGGGAGTGATGATAAACAAACGTATCAAAGCTTAAGACTAAACCTGAATAGTAACACTTTGGCATCTTCATACTGTTTCAGTTTGGAGTCTAAGAAATATATCACTGATATACAGTTATTATAGAACTTTCTGGGATTAATCATAATGATTTTGATTGGAAAATTCATTGCAGTTTTTGACAAGTGTCCCTTTTCCTTTATTGATACAGCAACAACCTTTTAAAAATGGGTACTGCCCTGGTAACTATTTGAGAGAATAGCAGGAATTAGAGGGATTTGACTGATCAGAAAGCACTTTAGTAAAGGTACTATCCTCTTTTTAACATTGACTAAATTATTTTTGATCTAGCAGCCTATGTTCATTTTATTGTCCAGCTAGAGCTGGAGTGTATCAAATTTGACGTGCTACTCTAAAAACAAAACAAAAACCAAAACCTCTAAGTATTCAAACCTTGGAGTGATAAACTATAGCGTGCTGGTACCAAGAGCAGTGTAACTGACTTGTATTTGCTCATTGCAAACGTTACCCTTTCAAAGAGATTCGGCAATTGAATTTCATTGTGCATCCTTTAACAGTTTTCCTCAAGGAGGTTGTCTTGAAATTTAGTGATTTGGTCACAATCAGTGGCTTTATTCTTTTTAATAATGTAGAGCTACTTAGGAGTTTGTGTCTACAGATGTTGTGATTCAAGCTTTTTAGCTCTTTAAAGGCTATTCAATACCCTTTAAAGTCAATAGAAGTACTGAGAATTGTCAACTGGCAAAAGACATTTCTGTTGGATTTAGATTTTTACTAGATCCTTTTTTTTTTTGCTTTATTATATTTATTGCAACCAAATCTTGTTTTTCTTTTTTCTTCTATTGGACACAGCTGTGTAGCTCTGAAGGAATAATCCTTTTTCTCTTGTCTTTCCTTCTCTAATTCTGTCCCCTTCCCTTCCCCCAACCCCCCGCTGCTGTGCAAAAAAATGCAATACCTAAAACCAAAAAATGACAACCTTTCTGCTCCTGCAGTCTACCTTGACTGTTACCTGAATAGCATTTTTCCCATTGAGACTTTATGGATGAAAAACCATTGTATAAAATAAGATTTTTTTGTAAGCCATTTCTTACTGGGCCGTAACAGGTGGAATGATGGGGAAAACGGACAGGGGAAAAATTGAGGGGATGATAGTATGTACATACGTTTGCATTCCCAGTTAACTGGGGTTTTGGGTGGAGTTGCAACTTCTCTTGACTACTTTATAGAAAAACAATTTTGAACATAGAATTATGAATAAACTATGACTTTGCAAAGCAAGCACATTGCTGCAATATTCTGTACAAGTGCTTGTTCATGCGCCTTTTTTTTTTTACTTGCTTCATTGATCCATACAACACGGTTGATATTAACATATGGTTTCCTACCATATGAATAAATTAGATATAATTTTAATGGTAAAAGTCATGAGATTTTTATTATCGCTTTTGACATCTTACAAAAGCTTGTGGTCGTGCTTTTTACCCAGTCTGTGTATTTTGTTTTCAAAGGCTGTGGATCTTTCTGTTGATGAATCTAGTCTCACAGGTGAGACAGCTCCTTGCTCTAAATCTACAGCTCCTCAGCCCGCAGCAACCAACGGTGACCTTACTTCAAGGAGCAATATTGCTTTCATGGGAACGCTGGTCAGATGTGGAAAAGCAAAGGTAAAATTCTTTTTGATAAGAATGTTCTGCATGGTTTAACTGTTCGAAAAAAGCCAATTCTTGTTTTTGAAGTTTACCTATTCATTGATAAAATACTTTAATAACTACATATACTCTGATTTTTCTAGAGCGATATAAATACGCCCTTATACTAGAAATATGGGTGATTTTTAACTCTCTGATATACTGCAGTACTTCCCCCAGTTTCTGTTTCATGAAGGTGAAATGTTTTTTGGAAAAAAAAAAATACTTATCCTATTTGTGCCAAGAGATAAATTTATGAATAAAGTTAAGGAAATCCACAGCAGGCTAAATGGAATTTGCCCACTATTTGAGTGAAAGTGTTGGGAACCATCCTTTACCAAAAAAAAAAAACCAAAACACTTCAGATTAGAATTTGCTTTATCTTATTTTTTTTAGGGGATAGTTATTGGAACGGGAGAGAACTCTGAATTTGGGGAGGTTTTCAAAATGATGCAAGCAGAGGAGGTAAGAGTGGATATTTCAAAGCAAGGCATACATTTTGTAAATTTAAACTTTGTTCATTAAAATCGTATGTTTTTTGAGGTTGCATGGGTTTATTCCGTAGAAACTTAGTTAAACTTAATTACATTGCTTTTAATATTTTCTTTTTCCTCTAGTGAAACAAATCTGAGCTCTTGAGCATGAAAGTAGTAATGAAATTCAGTGCAATAATATTTTTAGGACTACTATGGATAATTTAACTGTTAAAATAATGTTCTGAACCTATTCAAGGATGAAACAAATCTTATTACAATTTGTGGAAGTGTGCGTTTCAAGTGAAACTAGGTTTGTGCAGAAGGGGATATGTATGGCAGATATGTGCATTGCATGCCCAGGACTAGTTTTTCCCTTGATTAACAGTGTACTTCAGGGTTATGCACATGCCTTCTGCTGCACATGGTCTCTACCTTATCCTACTAAGGTTGCGAAACTTCCTTTGACTTGTAGATACCAAACTCCCACCATGATTTTGTTTCTTGCAGTACTCAAGTCCATATAAAAAGTCAGCTCCTGAGTGTTTTGTGTGTTTCTAGGGCCTTCCAGCCTCTTTGGCTGCCTGACTAAAGTAAAATGATAAGTCTTACAGAATATAAGACTTAAGAATATAGTCTTATTTCCAGCTGTCAGGGCAAGATCTGACATAGTATAGGCAGCACTCTTTTCTTAAAAAAAAAAAAAAAAAAAAAAAAAGCTTAAATCCACCTCATTACTTTTAATGAATAAGACTTTTTCACTTTTCTGGACAGGTGGCTAGTGCTAGAGTCTATAGCCTGACTTTGAGGCCAGGAATGTGCCCTGGCCGTGTGTCAAACCAACAACCTTTTTATGCCGAAAGCGTCTAAATTCACCATTGCAGCATTTCAATAGGTGAGGAAAACAAAGTCACAAAATACTGGTCTTGAAAAAGCAAGTGATGTGTAATGGATGATTAGCATTTGTCGCATGTAGCATGCATGTTTCCAATTTGTTTGGAATGTGCTTGTAGGATTGGGTTTTCTTGGTTGTTTAATCAGATGTTGAAAATTTAAAAAAAAAAAAAAAAAAAAAAGCTACATTTCTGAAATCTGCCAAAAGAGAGCAACCAAGAGCACTAGATAATGCATTGTGTGTGCCAGCCAGGAGCTGTTGGCTATAGTGCCTCACTATCATCTTTCAGGGAATACTGCTGTCCAGTCGCCCAGAGTGGGATCCACATTAATAGATGTGTGAAGAAAATATGATTACATGTACAATAGTATTTACTTTGTGTTTCCCGTACTGTAGTTCATCATATGTTACTATTAAAAAATAAACTTACTGGCATTCAATGTAAAAATATACTCTCCTGACTTCTTTTTATTAAAGTTTTGTCTCCCCTCAGCAGTTTTTATTCTTCTTTTTGGCACTAGAGTGCCTGAATATTTCCATAGTTTCCTATTTGGCTAATTTTGCATTTCCTGCAGATAGTTAGCAAATTCGTCATGAGATTTAGTTGCCCTGTAGGGTTTTAATGCCTATCTAGGAGTTCAAAAATCAGTTTTGTTCTTGTTATCTAGAATTTCAATTTTGAAGAAATGCGATGGTTTTTAATTGTCATGCCTTTTTCGAAATCTTTGACCTTTTGTATTAGGTTTGGTATAGACACCACAAAGCTTCTGAAGAATTTCTAACAAATTTTTCATTCCATTGAAATGTTCTTGAAGCTTCTTGAATTTTACATAAGAGTGGAACAAAGTAGCCCTGTGTTTTCACAAAATAAACATACAGTATAACTGCATTTAGTCACTGACAGTGTCTTGAAGCCTGCACACCTAGAAAAAATTTACGATACAATTTATGCATGTTAATATGTGCTTGTTAACCGCTGCGCGTTTACCTTTCACGAAGGCTCCAAAGACACCTCTGCAGAAGAGCATGGATCTCTTGGGAAAACAGCTATCCTTGTATTCCTTTGGTATAATAGGTAAGAGAACCTATGTAAAATAGTTATAGATTACTATGTAATTCTTATGTCCTCTCTATTAAATTGTCTTGTGTTCTGATTCAAGGTGAGCGTAAGCGAGCACCTCGCTACTAATACAGTTGTGCAATTAGGCTGGCAGAAACTTTCTTCTTGCCATACTGACAAAGCTATCCTCCAAAAGCAAGGGAAACAAAAATACTGCTGAATTTTCCCGTTGTTTCTTTTTTCCCGTTGTTTCTTTTTTCCCGTTGTTTCTTTTTTCCCGTTGTTTCTTTTTTCCCGTTGTTTCTTTTTTCCCGTTGTTTCTTTTTTCCCGTTGTTTCTTTTTTCCCGTTGTTTCTTTTTTCCCGTTGTTTCTTTTTTCCCGTTGTTTCTTTTTTCCCGTTGTTTCTTTTTTCCCGTTGTTTCTTTTTTCCCGTTGTTTCTTTTTTCCCGTTGTTTCTTTTTTCCCGTTGTTTCTTTTTTCCCGTTGTTTCTTTTTTCCCGTTGTTTCTTTTTTCCCGTTGTTTCTTTTTTCCCGTTGTTTCTTTTTTCCCGTTGTTTCTTTTTTCCCGTTGTTTCTTTTTTCCCGTTGTTTCTTTTTTCCCGTTGTTTCTTTTTTCCCGTTGTTTCTTTTTTCCCGTTGTTTCTTTTTTCCCGTTGTTTCTTTTTTCCCGTTGTTTCTTTTTTCCCGTTGTTTCTTTTTTCCCGTTGTTTCTTTTTTCCCGTTGTTTCTTTTTTCCCGTTGTTTCTTTTTTCCCGTTGTTTCTTTTTTCCCGTTGTTTCTTTTTTCCCGTTGTTTCTTTTTTCCCGTTGTTTCTTTTTTCCCGTTGTTTCTTTTTTCCCGTTGTTTCTTTTTTCCCGTTGTTTCTTTTTTCCCGTTGTTTCTTTTTTCCCGTTGTTTCTTTTTTCCCGTTGTTTCTTTTTTCCCGTTGTTTCTTTTTTCCCGTTGTTTCTTTTTTCCCGTTGTTTCTTTTTTCCCGTTGTTTCTTTTTTCCCGTTGTTTCTTTTTTCCCGTTGTTTCTTTTTTCCCGTTGTTTCTTTTTTCCCGTTGTTTCTTTTTTCCCGTTGTTTCTTTTTTCCCGTTGTTTCTTTTTTCCCGTTGTTTCTTTTTTCCCGTTGTTTCTTTTTTCCCGTTGTTTCTTTTTTCCCGTTGTTTCTTTTTTCCCGTTGTTTCTTTTTTCCCGTTGTTTCTTTTTTCCCGTTGTTTCTTTTTTCCCGTTGTTTCTTTTTTCCCGTTGTTTCTTTTTTCCCGTTGTTTCTTTTTTCCCGTTGTTTCTTTTTTCCCGTTGTTTCTTTTTTCCCGTTGTTTCTTTTTTCCCGTTGTTTCTTTTTTCCCGTTGTTTCTTTTCCGAGTCTACAGTACATAGTGGTATTTATCAAAACAATTATTTTGTTTCTAGGGATTATCATGGTGGTTGGCTGGTTGCAAGGAAAGCATATTCTTGATATGTTCACAATTGGTGTGAGGTAAGATTTTATATATATATATTTTTTAATACGTGTGTGTGTGTATATATATATGTGTATATATAAAAATAAATAGTGTAGTTCATTAAAGCAGTATTTGAAAGCTAAGGATATGCATTATAATATGCTTTCACACAGATTTTACTTTTAAGTTCATATAGATGACATAAAACAAAAACTGACTTTGTGCTGTAAAGAGACAGTTCATGTCCTTTTTAAGGATATGATATGTACTTCTCAGTTTCTTGCACCATGCAATTGTGTGGCGATTTCTGAGTGGTTTTTGGAAGATCTGTAGACCGAGAATGAGCAGAGGTGTAAAATTTGAATTTCCATGACTGAGTAAATAAAATGCAATTTTATAAGTGTCATTAGGCAAAACTTTGACTAGAAGTCTTCCAGCTTGTTTTTTAGAATGTTATGGAAACTTAATTCCAGGGTCTCGTCTGTCGAGAGTAAACCGGAGTTTAGATGATTTAGCTCTGCTCTGGGAAATGTTGCTGATTGCATTAATTACATGGACAGGTAAATGCATAGGACAGAGGTATTTCTTCAAGAAGCAGACCGGATCAGACTATGTGCATAAAAATAGTGCGCTCCTTGAACTGCATTTTTGAGCGTTGTATAATGAGTTACTGCGATCTCATTTACACTTTTACTAGTGTATTTGGTGGTGTGTTGGGGCGGGGGGAGAGAGAAGAGAGGAAGTGTCTCTGAAGGACCTTCTGTGCCAGTCCAACACTTGGCATACTGCCATATCATGATCTGGAAGTGACAGCTGTGGATCACTGGTCACTTGAAGTGGTAGTGCTTCCTAAGACAAACTTCTTGAGTGCCGACTACCCGTATTCTTCATGATTTGGGCTGCTTTACACAGTCCTAATTAGTATTTTGTGTGTGCAAAACGGACATACAATTGATGTTTTTTCTAAGCGTTCTTCATACTTTTGCACAAATAATGCATGGAAGTGTCTAAGCTGTTGCATATTATTGCTATGTTCAGAATGTGCATTTTGCAATGAAAGTTATGTGACAGAATCAAACGGCAGCTGCTTCCTTTCACTTTTAACCTCGGTTGACAGACAGCTATGCAAACCAAATATTCTCAACTAGAAGCATGTCTTTACTATGCGTTAATGTATAGCATTCTAAGGCAAGATTTGTGTATTTACTTTCGTTTCAGTTTGGCTGTAGCTGCAATCCCTGAAGGACTACCGATTGTGGTAACAGTGACACTGGCCCTTGGTGTAATGAGAATGGTCAAGAAAAGGGCTATTGTAAAAAAACTGCCCATTGTCGAAACTTTAGGTATGACCAGACTAACTTAGGGATAATATTTTGATACGAATGTTAGGAAATTAACACAAAGTTGAAGATGTCTATAAGTGGGTAGCATTTAAAAAGATATGTGTTATTTTGCTAGCAATGTGGCAATGCTTTAAAAACACCATATCTAAATTGAATGCAGTTTGAGTTAAAATTCAGCTATATGTTTGTGGGTCTTACTACCGCCCAGTTTTTGAACTGAGATATTAAACCAGTGGAGTGTTCCGGTCAATAGCACGTCACACTAGCATACTCTGAACTGCATGCGTGAAAGGATGTGCCGAGTACTCTCTTTTCCCAGTGGAAATAACTTTAGCTTGCTGTGGAGGTTTTTGTTAAATAACATTCTTGTGAAATATTTTTTTAACTAACTTTTTGGCATAAATTCAGGAATAGTATTGCCAGGTGGAAAGAAACCCAAGTATGAGTATTAGAAAAAGTTTTGTAATCGTAATGCACCCTCAGAGAATCTTACTGTTTATATAAAAACTTACATATTTTAAAACATCAAAGCTTAAAAACATTCTGTATGCATTTTCAATCAGGAAACATGTAGTGCACTGAGCACAAAAGAAATAATCTTTTTCTGCTGTATTTTAACTTCTGTATTTGAAGATTGGAAATATTTTACTTCTAATTTCTGTAGCTGAGTTTCATTAGCGTTGCAAGGTTTTCTGTTGGCTTTGCAATACCTGCTGGCATTCCCAAAAATGTCAAGAAGCTTCAACACTTTCGATATGTATATTTTTTTCTGAGTTAAAACAGTGCATACAAATTTCATACTTCTGCAATCTTTTCAGTCTCGTTAAAACTGCAGTTTTAGTAGTAAGTTACCCTTTTTAATAAAGGAGAATAACTTCTGTAAAGCAGGCTCTTAACTTTCCTCCTCATCAGAAGTCTTAATTGAGACTTCATTAATGTAGCCTGAGATATAGCAATATAAAAATAAGGAGGTAGTGAACAGAAGCATTTCAGATTACTTGTGAATTTGGAACTTTGTCTAATCAAAAAAACCCAAACCTTGCGTATCTATTTATAAGTAGTTCCACATTGGCTGTCTGTGAAAAAAGAAAATAGGATATAACATTAACAGTTGCAGTATTTCTGGAGGTTTATTCGTCTTGAATACTTTTGTCCTCATTAGGTACTCAAATTGTTCTAAACAGTCCTTGTCTTCCTAATTGGTTCTTTCAGGTTGTTGCAATGTAATTTGTTCCGATAAAACTGGAACTCTCACAAAGAACGAAATGACTGTAACTCACATTTTTACTTCGGATGGGCAGCATGCTGAGGTATGTAGTGAGATTATATCAGACTTTAATTTGGGCTTTTACTTGTGTGCGTGTGTGGAATGCATCAACTGAAATATTCCTGGATATCGCATGTTAAGGAAGTGTAAATTTGTTGTACCAAATCTTGATTTCTCAACTTCTGCTAATCCTGTTCTTCCATTCATTCAGTATTTCAACCTTTGTCGGAGTTGTATTATTCAAGCCTTCCATGGTTGCAGAAGAATTATTAGTATAACGTGTAATGTTCATATAGCTCTTCATGGCTGTAACTTCTAACAAAAGCCAGATGGTGAGATTCGTTACAAACAAGTATTGGGAGATTTGGCGTTTTTCTTCAGTATGGAAAGTGAGGCTATTTTTTTGCTGTTACAGGTGTGTAAAGTAAAACTTACATGTTAGGAATATTTAAAGTAGATGAATTACCCAGCTTTTGGATTAAAAAAAACTTCATGTACTGTGTGAGCCCTTTATCCCAAAAGCATACTATTATTCTTGCTCTTTGTAATGAATGGAGTTGAGGAGCAAGACATGAAACTGTGATTGCTAAGGTTGGAGGGTTACTGCAAAGTCTGAAGTAAAC